CGATTTACTATTTAAAATGGTTAGAATTTCATATACATACATACGTATTCAATATAGGAAAACGAATTACTAATGACTTTTTAATAGACTTATTGGATGTAGTATGTGTTTACTTCAGAAATTTTATTGAAGCGAATGATAAGACGGAAATTATTAGGAATTCCATTATTAACGATTGTAAATTTGACTGAATTTTTATAAAATGTTAAATTACAAAAAAATTATCAATATTAAAAATGAAATCAGTCTAAATAGACTAATCGGAGTTGTTGAAGAAAAAGTGGTAATTAAAATGAATTCTATAGAAAAAATGTTATATGAAATAGCAATTTTTGGGGGGGGGGGCTAAAATACGTTTTACAAATTTAAGCATTTCTTTTTGATTCACCTCCACCCTGTTTTAATTGTTTTATGGAACATTTTTATAATATATTGACTCGCATACCAGAGAAATTCCCACATATGAAAGCAATTTTTAGTAAGATAAAAATTTGGCTCAACACAAAAAGTTCTTATTAAAATTTCAAAATTTTTAGGGGGGGGGGAATTATTTTCAGAATGCTGAAAACTTCATGGGTTAAATATGCAACAAATAACAAAGTTCTTCGAAAAATAAATAACAATCGAAAACTTCCAATTGTTATAAAACGTAAGAAAATATCATGTTTTGAATATGTAATGCGAAGTGAAAAATACAAACTTCTACAGTTAAAATTCAAGACAAAAGAGGTATCCGTCGTTAGCAAATGTCATGCTTACGTAACATCAAGAATTGAACAGAAATATCAAATATTGGTGATTTAGTGAATTTAGCAATGGATCGTGAAATTTATATGAACATTTTAAACAGATCAACATTCAACTAGTATGACCGCTAACACTCAGTAGTTAGTACGCAATGAAGAGGGAGAGAACACATGTTACAAAAATATTTTTATATAAATTTCAGAATGAGTTAAATACGTAATAATATTTAATAAAATACCTGACTATAATGTAATTCTGGATTGATATTTAATATACACATTATAATTCTTTGCATAAAACATACATAATTTTGCTTTATATAGGAAATGAAATTATGAAAATATGAAATATGTATATTAAATTTAAATAATAAATCAACATAATTCCAACGCTCACATTGGACGTACGAACATACGTACGTGTATGTCCCAATCAATAAAATTAAATTATGTTACCTAATATTTTATAATATAATAATAAATTATGATTACTTTGCTAATTTATTTTTAACACAAAAGAGAATTTCATATTTTTACGATAAATTTGTACAATAAATTGTTTAACATACTTATTTCAAAGTCAGTGTTAGTATTTTAAATTTTAAAATTTAAGAATATTTAATATTATGTTTACTTACATGTATTTTTTTTTATCAAAACAAGTTTAGTGTGTAAGAGGAGTGCTAACGTAAACATTTTTTACACGGCATATGAAAATATCACACACTAAAATCAATGTATGTACATATGTATGTATGTATGTAGTAGATCCTAAGGCCATTTCACGATATTGCTAATTGAGTTAGATAACTTAGAATTATTTTATAAGTTAATACTTTTTTAACAATTTCATGCAGTTAAAAAGTTTACACCTTACATACTTAATTAAAAATTATAATAAGTAGGTTTCTTTTTCAAGAAAAAACCTGAGAAATCGAAATACCTTTCTGTTCTGTAATCCAGAGCTTTAAAATTAATTAAATTTTTCATATTTTATATTTAAGTCTTTTATGAAGCAATAGCCTTAATGGAAAATTTGCCACCGACGATTAACTGACCGTATTAAATGTATTAATTTTCACTTTACGAAAAGTTCATCTTTATATGGATTTACCGTATATTTAAAAAAAAGGTAAGAATTAAAAGTTGACAACATAAATTTTAATAAAAATATTCGTAACGTGATCTCTTTTTACCAAATTTGAAATCAATGTTAATCTAGTTAAGGAAAAAGGTAACAAGTATTCTGATTTAGTTTTTAATTTTTTCTTAATTCATTTAAAATATATACATATAGCGTACATACATTGTATGGCATAAGTATTTAAATATGGAATAAATTGAGGTCCGTTATTACATAAATGGTAATCATTAAGAGATGGAAAGACAACACCAATTAATTTTGTTTGTTTCTTTGTTGCGTTTTAAAAGAAATACGCAAAATGTTATTGAGTTTTTGTTAACGTAATTCTTATATGAACTTGCTTGCCAATTTTGCATCATTCGGATCATATGAAAATAATGTATGAAATTTATTTTGGCGCACAAAAATGGTAATTTTCTTGTCATAATAATAATCACCTTCTGTTCACAATATACACTTTTAATAATAAGTAATTGTATAAAGTGTGTTGTATGACGTTTTTAAAAAAATCAAATTAATGACTTACCATACAAATTTCTGTTCGTAATTAATTAATTACATATTTCGAAAATCAAAAGCACATTAAAATATCATGGGTTTTTAGTTCTGGACCTACATAAGTTTGCACACTTAATTAAAGTTGATTAAATTCTATGTATCAAATTTGAAGTTTTTTAAATGCACTGTGTTTATACTTTGCTACTTAATTCAATAAGTATAATATTCTGTATAGTAAATTTATTATTATGATAATACATCTAATTTTTCTTTTTGCAGATATTTGTAGAGCACCGCACTTCAATTAATTAGTTTAATTAGAATTAGACGTTAATGTTTTCTTATTGTGCAAAAGTAAAAACCTGGTACGGCAACGAATTTAATTTTGTTTATCTATAAGGCAGCATCGCATTTTAAAAAAAGTAAGTCTGCTAAACGAAAAATAGCATTTTTTTTTCATAAAAATGTTGTTTCACGTACCTATAAAATTCAATACTTAAAAGAATTGAAATATATTGGACTTACTTATTACTTGTGGCTTTAAATATTTTGGTTGAAAATCTTGTTCGGTTTTTGGCCATTCGATTAATGTTATGACAAGTCAGAATTGATCTAGAACTGATCTTACTACCGAGTTTTTGATTTTTTTTGGATTGCATCCATACTCATTCCGGTGATGTTGTTTGCGACTTTTACTTGAGTGTATCCAATCAATTTATATTTGCTACTTCGAGTTTCTACTACCTGTACTGCACCTTCTAACTGTTAAATTTTGATTTAAGCCAGATCTTGCTATGTCATTATCGAAAGATCATTATATTTTAAGTTTTCTGTTCTGTATAACGTGGTAACTGTATCAATTTTGATAAAAAATCTCCTACAAATACCAGTCTGGTGTTGTTTTCACCATTTTGATCTTATTGTCTATGTTTAAGTTTAGGTACTTATGTTAAACTTATTTTTAAGTTGGCTTCAGTAAAATTGTTATTATTGCTTTCAGATTTAGTTTAATGTCTTTTTTTTAAATTTTGATTTTATAATATTTTTCTTTCAGTGTACAATGTACAATAGTTTTTTAATGATGATTTATATTTAATAGGTCTCACTGTTTAATGAATTAATAAAACTTTTTTAATTATACATAAATATATATATACATATACATATGTATGACAATATAAACTGTTTTTGGGTGTAAAGCTCATACTTTGAATTTTTTACACCATTTTTTTTTCTATTTTTATTTTTATATTTTAAATTTTAATATTAATTAAAATTTTCACTTGAATAAGAGTTTTTTAATTAGCATCTTGGTATTTTGGGAAAAAATTTTTGCTAGTATGACCTAAATTAAGCTAGGTTTTAGTTACCATATTAAGTAAAGTTGTTAATTAAATTAATTAAAACGTAAAAGTAAAATTAACACATTATGATAAATGTTTTCTATTAAATTTTTGTTTATGTTAATGTCACGTAAATGCAGTCCAAATTGTCTGTATTATAGCAGTGTTGATTAAACATAAAATTCTCCTTACCTCTTTAAGATTTTACGATGTGTATATATGTATGTGCGCAAATATTTCTCAGTAAAATAAAACAATTTTAGTTTTATAGGTATGCTATTTAATGAGCGAATAATTAAGAGCGATATTAATAATATCAATGTTACAATTTTCTCTTTTATTTGCTTTATATATTTAATTTAGCATTATAAAATCGAAATTAATTTATTTTAAATTTTTTAATACTCGTATGTTAACGTTAAAAATAAATAAAAAGAGGTGCTCTGAATGTATCCTATTACAATAATATCATATTTATTTTTATGGAACCGAGTACAAGCCTGTACATAATATGTTAACGTACTTCCATATACCTACATATACGAGTATGAGATACTCATTTCCTTTGAATTTAAAAGTAAAATTCCAACTAAAATATCATTCTTGTATATTAAAAAATAGCATGATATCGCAATTTTATATTCGTAATTGTGAAAAAATATTGAAAATTTCAAAATAAATATCAAATACTAATATATACCATAACATATATCAATAGGAAAACGAATGAGAGAAAATTAACTTAGACCTATAATTATTACTTCCGTTCGTCAAATTATATCCAATTAATATGATGAAAAGCATATGGAAAATTTTGCAGGTGTTTTGATTTTTCTTTCACATAAGTGAATTATACTAGTATATATCCATATATGAATACTGACATAAAATAAATCTATTAAAGAAGGAAAAGAAAAATTGAAGATTGTAAATGGAAAATTGCAAGAACAGGCAAGGTTGTATCTTACAAATTACACTGATGAGATTGTTTACTTGTTTGTATAGTTATTTGCCTATATAACTACTTTTATGTATAATTGCTTGTAAAACAATTTACTGAGTGCTTTCTTAAAGTAAAAGTTCGAACTACAAGAAAGGACATTTTATAAATAATAAAAGCTAAATGAATTTATTCTACTTTTATTAAAATTTCTAGGCAATTTTTATAGTATAATAATTTTTTTAATAGATATTAGAAAAATATAAAAGTTTTAGTTGCTTTTTTTTATTTATTAAAGTTTAATTATTTTATTATTTATTTTATTGCAGAATTATGTAATATATCCATATGAGCAACATCCTGTATTCAGAAATGATGATACAAAAGGTAAATAAATTTTATTAAAAGAAAATTAAGAAAAAGTAAATTTTATATGTATTTTAAGTGAAAAACCAAGTATCAAGAAAATATGTAGACATATTTGTTGCCAGGTGATCCCAATCATGGTTTTGTAATTGATTTCTTCTTTAGTTTTTCTTTAAAATTCCTTAAATGTTATGTTTTAATGAATAAAATTAATACATTTATGCAAACTTGAAATGAGGCTAGACTTATAAAACTAATTTTACGGAATATCGTCAATTTTAAATAATATATATAAGAAAGTATACACAGTGAGCCGAATAAATTTAACTGAAAGTAGAGTTCAGGAGATACACATTTTTATATTGCAGTTCTGTTATTAAGACTGAAATCAATTGAGAGAATAAAGATAATTTCTCTTAAATTACAAGATGCGTGAGGTAGCCATTAAAATGAATCCCGTAAGCCAAGAAAATTTAGAGATTTTCTTTCTCAAACAGGAATCGGTCTGATACAAAAATAAATATATGTACATGTTGAAAAAGGATAAAGTCACATGGTATTCGTCGCAAATTTTTATAATTTCGAAATTATTACATTTAAAAAAAAATTTTAGATTTCAAATTAGATGGACGTACTGTTTATATTTCTACAAATAAAAGTTATCGCTCTATAAATGCAATAAATCTTATTTTGTTATACTATTAAATTTCTATAACACATTGACAGAATATTAAAATTTAAAATTAGTTTTGATATGAATTTCCGTGATAAATGAAAACTAAATCCCTAATATGTAGAAATTTTCAGTGATAGCCTAAAGCAATATTCTTCAGTTAATTATTATTAAGATTTATACAAGTCTATTAAAAGTATAATGTAAAGTAAATGTGTATTATACTTCTTTAATAATGATTTTCGACAAAATCCGGTATTTAAAATGTATTTTGATATTTAAAACATAATACACAATTTAATATGTACTTACCTACTTTAAAAATTTTAGTGTTTAATCAAATGTTAAAAAAATGTGTAAACAATAATATGACACTCAAGATTCAGCCCTATTTATAATTGTAATAAAATAAATGAAATTATAGTTTAATTTCCTTTTTGAATTAAATCTTACGCGAGTTAGAATTCGATGCTTACTCTTCTATCGAGTACTTATATAGACTGCAATTTGTTAAAACAGAAGTTTGTAAAGTTAATTATCAATTTGATTACTGGCTTTATATAGCAAAGTATGGAATAAAGTTTGTTTTATTAAAATTACATGCTTACGACCAATGTTTAAATTTTGTTGCATATATTAAGGAGCAATTTATAACCGAACGCATTGCATTAAATAAGGTGGCCTATTTAGAAAATTTAAAGAAAAATTTTTAAAATCTTTAAATTTTCATAATCTCATCGAAGAACAATCTACTTATATAATTCGAACCTTGTCGAATTTCTCAAAAACCGTTAAGGATCCTCAATATTGCCATGAGTAATGGATAAAAAATCCTCTATACACCTCCGCTTCACCACAACTACCTCTACAGAAGCCATCTATGGGATGATCAATCTTCCTGATAGCATAATTGATAATTAGCTTATATTGTAAACAAATTACGTTGGCAATATTAACATTTCATTTATTTGAACTTAAGATTGCCATAATTATGTATTTAGGTATCTAATTAATTTCATATTTTTTTAAATTAATATTAATATTCACAAAAAAAATTTTAACATAATTTTCGTTTTTTACTTTTCTGTTTATCTACAATTTTGTTTTTTTATTAAAATTCATTTAGAAAACATTTTTTCTCTCTCATTTTCTTTTGCTTATCTCAAACAATTTTAAATAATTATAATAACTATATGGTATAGGTACTTTTTATTTTTCCACCGCATGCATACCGTAATAAAAATACATTTAATGTTTTTTTTTTGTGAACTTGAACTTTTTAAAAAGTAAAAACTCAAAATAAACAAAACGCGTAATCATTAGTTAATCTCTTGGTAATTTACCATAAAGAAAAAGAATCATAAATTATGTAATATTACGTTTTTACAGCGTGTGATTATTTAATATTCGTAATGACTAATGAGCACATATTTTATAAAATAAATTTTACAATTTATTTGTTAATTTCAGTAATAAACGTAAATTAAATTAAAAGTAGTTTTACATAACAATGATCTCTTCAAATTGAAAATTTGATTTTTGTGTTTGGGTTAATTGTATTCTATTTTAAATATTCGCCGAAAATTATAAATAAAAATAAAATAATTAAATACAAAAAGGCAGAAAAAATAATTAAATTGGTGTACAAATCAATTTTTAGCATAATTTTAAGATAATTAGGCGTCTATGTTTTCTAATTTATTTGACTGGCGCTTAAAAATTATTCTTTTCGTTTTCTTTTTTTTTGGTAAATTCAGAAAATTTAAAGTGAAAACCTTTTTGTATGTAAATTTGTAGTAAATAGGTGTAACGTAAAAAATTTTAATTTGACTTATTTTCAGAAGGTGGGAAAAATGACAAGAAAAATAAAAAAAAAATTGAAATTGTTTGTTCATTCTAAATGTAAATTAATTAAAAAAGCAATAATGAATGAATTGTTTTATTCATAAAAATATTTTAAGACTTATTTCAAGCTATGACAAATGAAACAACAAATTTATTTGCATTTATATACAATAAATTTGTATTCCGAACAATTAATTCACAGTCTTTAATAAACTACAGATCAAGTACTTAATTGTCGGATTCGATTGGTATAAAAAATTAGATTCATGCAGTGTAAACTTCTTTCACGGATTAGAATATAGAAGAACGCTATATTAACTACCTTAAAGTTTCGAATCATTGTCCTAATATGTTTGCCAATTAAAAATAATCACGTTATACTCCCCTTTCATATTCGAAACCTTTACGACGTAATAATGTTAAATCCCACGTATATGATGCAGATACAACTTTGACAACAATATTCCTGATACAATTTTTCTTCATTTATTCAGAAATAAGAAAAATATTTAAATTGAAAAAAGATATAGCAATTTGATGTCATAAATGTGGAAAATCATCATTCGCACAGTGTTAAAACCGATCAGTTCAACATTGTTCTGACAATTAACCGCAACGTGATAGTAATCTATTAAGAATATATTTAGTAAATTGTAAAATAGCGAGACCGGCAAATTAGAATTAGCGAAGTGAAAACATATAAAAAACACCATTTTGTTTTTCTTGTCATTTATTCTGTCAAGCATTATTTTTTTTTCCTCCATATTATTCTTGAATTGATGTTATTATGTAATGGAAACAGAATTAATTTCAAGTGTTTGTTATTAAATATTTTGCTTTAATTTTTTTTTTCCTTAAAACAATAATTAATTTATTAAAAATATTATGGTTGTACACTTGTAAAAATAAATTCTGACATGATGTTTTTTCGGGCGTTGTATTTGCAAGTTCTTAATTTGTGATTGAAACAATTTTGTTACTTTTTGTTTTCTTTTAGTATATCAAGGTTAAAAAAATTTCTGATGGAATTTTTTTTTCCAAGTTTTCTTTTTCTATTTTTGATCTTTAATTTTGAAATTATGAATTCAGTATATACAGTAATGGACAAAGTGAGGGGACAAAGTTCACACATGAATTTTAAAGTGAGTTTTTTACCGAAACTTCTTGTATTATTTTAATACAATTAACGTAAGATTATGAATAGGATGAATCTATTATATGAATACTCGTAGAATTAACCTGTAAGAGCTTCTTAATTCTGTATTTGACATTTATACTCAATAGGTGAAAGAAGTGAGTGAGCATCATTATGTTTTATACAATGTTGTTTACAAGTATGTGAATTACTTTTTCTAATAAAATATATTGCTCCTATAAATATGCAAATCTCAACAATCTTAATTATCACCATACTTTTCAATACAAATACGCTTTGTGCCACTTAGAGGGTGAAAAACGAATAAAAATGAGGAAATCTATTCACGAGACAGATTTGAAAGATGATTGGAAAAATGATATACAAAATAAAATAGATTCCATTTGCATTATTAACAATTTGTCAAGTGAACATGTTTTTGACTACAAATCCCCAGAACTTCCAATTCTGATTAATCTTATTGATTTAAAGTACTTTTTATTTAAAAACCACGTTGACATTATGACGAAAATTTTGCCCCAAATATTTTATATAGTACCGTTTATTTTAAAACTTATTAATCATTTTTTGATAAATAAAATTTAAAATTTTATTTTAGAATCAGCTTTAGTGTGTGGGTGAAAATTATGTGAACGTTTAAAAATGATCTAAAAATGGTTAAATATTTTAAAATTTTTCCCTTCCTGATCAAAATTTTTATTATTATACTGCCATGACTTTTAGTTTATTTTTCATTTATGTAATTTATAAATGTTTGACATTTATTTTGACGTAAAACTTTGAAAAATCTAATTAAAATTTATTACCTGTAAAAATGTTATCGAAAGTTACAAAAAAAAAATAAACCAGCTACAGAATCGAAGATTTCAAACCACATAATTCTTGGACGACTGAGTGATTTTGTGAGTTATGTATAACCTCGACTCATTTTATTAAAAATAATTTTTATACACATACCATTTTGGTTTGTTGGCTTACTTAATATCTCGATTACTACTCTACAATAGTAGAGAAAATATTATTTGAGATTTTATTAAATTATATTGAAAATGACTTAAATAATTGTCATAATTATATCAAATTAGTAAATTTCATTTTACGACTATTTAATTAACAATATTAATGAAATCTTAATCAAAATTAATTATAAGAAAATAAGTGCAATTGTTCGCGTGAAGGAAATGGAAAAAACAATAATCAATTCTCAATTCGTCTGGTAAAAGTTTTTTAAGTAGTGCTAAATGAATTTCCGTTTTAAACTTGAAATGAGCTCATACATTACTTTTCTTTTCCTACACAAATAATTTTGATTATGCATTGTTTTAATTCATCATACAATTTAACACG